ATGATCTTGTTTACAAACATTTAGCTGCTAACATTATACAGTTTACGTGAATGTAGTAGCAAACATGAGCTTGTGTAAGGTAATGTTGTCATTAGCATTACTTTGTCTAAGCTAAACTAGCGACTAATGTCATGTTTAGACTAATGCTAATGCAGTAGCTACTGTTATCTTGTTTACATGAATATGTCGGCTAATGTTGTCTAGTTAGGCTAATGTAGAGGGAAAAGTTTATATATTATCTTGTTTAGGTTAATTTAGCAGCTGGTACAATCATGTTTAGACTAACATGATCTTGTTTAAGCTAACGTAGCAACTGATGTTATGTATTTTGGTTTGGCTAATGTCATCATATTAAGCTGACGTTGGCTCACTTAGGCTAATACGAGTAACCTTATCTTATCCATATAATTGATGTCATAATTTGGTTTGAGGCTAACTTAGCTGCTAACATTAACTTGTTTTTGGTCAATGTATCATGTAAAGCTGATGTTGTCTTGCTTATGGTAATGTAGCAGCTAATATTATGTTGCTCAGGCTACTAATGTTGTGTTGTGTAGGCTAATGTAGCTACTAACGTTATGATGTTTAGGTAATGCAGCGTCAAATGTTATTCTGCTTTGGTTACCATGGAAGCCAATATGATCGTGTTTAGGCAGCTAATCTTAACTCTGTTAGCATGTTTGGACAACTGTAGCAGCTAGCTTATTACGCTATCATATCTAAACACCATGGTGAGCCACATGACAGTCTGCAGAGGAAACTTCTGTCCCTGTGCTGGTTTTTTTTAGCTATTAGCCTTGTTAGTAGCAGCAGTAGCTTTATTGTCATGAGACTGAGGTCAGACAGGAATATAACAGACTGGACGGTGCTCCTGACAAAAATAAAAGATAAAAAGTGCAAGTGCATCAGACAGACAGCCGCAGTAACTGAAGCGGTGGGTCGAACAGTTTCACCGGTTTTATGGCGCGCAGGTACTTCCTGTTCTGTCGCTGAGTTTCTGATTAAACTCTCTGCTGCATCTGGAGTTAAGTTTTCTTACTTCTGGAACACAAGAAGTTTTCCTGAAGCTCAGATAACAACACAGAGGCTTCATTAGAGGCAAGTCAGAGTCCAGTCAGACTCCAGCGGCCCGGTCGGCAGGCCGGACCTCAGAACAGAGGCTGCAGCTGAACGCTCCCCGAGGACCGGCGCCTCCAACGTCCCCCTAACGAGCCTTTTGTTGCAGCCTTCCACTCCCCCATCCCGCCGCCTGCCGAGCCACACTGAGGCCTCTGTTCAGGCTGCGTGGGAGAGAAACCAGGAGGAAGGACCAGGGAGGCTGAAGGAGAGCCGAGGGGCGACGGAGCCAGAAGCAGGAGGGAGGGAGGTTCAGAGCCAGAGATGGGTTTATGAGCCCATGTGTGAAGGTGTGAAAAGGAGAAAGTTGCCTGGCAACAAGCAGCAAAGAAAAGAAGAACAGCAGCAGGAAAAACAAGCTGCCGTCTGAGGCTACAAGCTGAAATACCAGCCGGCTGCTTTCAGCCTCCTCTGACTTCTGGAGGGCGACAGACCTCCGACTCAACATGGCCGCACGCTCCTGAGCAGCCAGCCTCCAAATGAAGCTCTGAGAAGATGGTTTCACCTCAAAGTCCAGCTCCGGAGGAAACACCGCCGCCGCTAGCTGGCTGTTTGTACCGCCAGTAATCAGCAGGAGGAAATTACAGTTCCTGGAATTTTAGTGGAAAAGTACCAGAAACAACTGATAATTACACGTAAACACACATCAAACAAACTCAGTACAGCTGGTTGAAAAGTAGAGCGACGGACGGCAACAGCATGAACAAAGTCCTCCTTTTAATCCAACGAAACTTCATCACAGGAAGTTAGTGACAAAACCAAGAACTGGACAAATTAAAACGATGCACCCATTAGCCTGGACAAGATAACTTTAGCCGCTACGTTAGCCAGAACAAGAGAAAATTAGTTGCTAAACTCTTCTAGCTACTACGTTATCTTGAACTGCTTTAGCACAACGAAGACAACGCTAGCCGCTACATTAGCCAAAACAAGACAACGTCAGCCCCTATGCTACTCTAAAGAAAATAGTTTTAGTTGCTACGTTAGCCAAAAGATAATGTTATCCACTGCTTTAACCAAGCAAGTTAACATTAGCCACCTTAGTCTTATTTTAGTCTATTAGCTGCTACATTAACCAATCTAGAAAGACATTGTTAGCACAAAACCAAAGTAACGTTTGCTGCCACATCCGCCTAAACAAGAAAACATAAGCTAGCATGTTAGCTTAAATAAGACAACATTAGCCGCTACATTATTATAAAAAAGATAAGGTTTGTCTCAACATCAGCCCCAAAAAAAGACAATGCTAGCCTGAACAAGACAGTTTTGGCTGCTACATCAACTTAGATACGACAGCATTAGCCACAACAACTGGCTAGCTAAAAAAGGAAATGCTAGCCACAACTTTAGCCTACACAGAGGGATGTTAGCTGCTGTGTCAGTCCAAATGAGACTTCAAGACAGTGTTTGGTGCTATATTAGCCAACACAAGATAATGCTAGTCATTACATTAGCCTGAACAAGGAAACATTAGCTGC